CTGATATGAATCTGAACTCGAGATTGACCTGGTAAATAACTAGTATTACCCGACTTGTTTTCAACCTAACGTGTAAATGATCTGACTTGTTGTTGACCTAATCTGATATTTACTTGACTTGACATTTACCTGACATATATATTACCATTGATGAATGTAACAACCCGAGAAAACAAAATTAAATCGGTGTAATTTGGTGAAATTTAGTGACTAAAATAAAATTTATGAAAATTTATAGGTTATTTTTGAAGTTGAAGGAAATTCAGGGATCAAGCCCTGAATTCCTCCAATAAGTGTCGGCAGGTTTGATTATAAACCAAACGTGTTTTCTGATTTCAAAATCAGAAAACACAAGCAAATTATAAAATTTCCTCCTCCCGTGCGCTTACTTTCAAAGCCCGATTCCGACGTCGTCCGACTTCCAATCGTCAAATTGAAACCATCATCGTGTTCATCGTCGACCAGTGATCAAAACCCAGTAAACCAATTATAGCGAAACGCTGCCAAACGAAGTGAATTTCGAGTCAAAGTATCGACGTTTTTTTAGCACCACCACCTGGAAAATCTTAAATTCATCTCCGATCGTTGATCGGTTTTCGACACCTCCCGCACCATCGTGTTCCTGGTGTCGTTCTGAGTCCAAAGGTGTCGTCCTTGTCTCCGTAGGCGGCGGCGCGTGTGGGAGGTGGAACGGTCAAAGATTCGGTCGAGTTGAAATCGAGTTCTCCACCTTTCAAAAACTTGAACCGAGGTTGGTAAGTGTCTCAAAATCGCTTAAAAGAATTTTTGGAAATTTTTGCATGAACTTTTGGAGGCCAGAGGCGGTCTCACGTACCCCACGCGCCGTCCCTGTGCGTGGGGAAGATGCGAACTACAGTTTAATGGGTTGACTGGTCTGACTCGACCCGTTAACCCGACCCGACCCGGTGACATTCTGGGAATTATTTTGAAAAAGGTGACATTTTGGAAATTTTTGTGAAAAATATGACATTCTAGAATTTTTTTTTGGAAAAATGACATTTCGAGAATTTTTGTGAAAAAGGTGACATTCTAGGAATTATTTTGAAAAATGTGACATTTTGGTAATTTTCGAATGTGTTAACCCCTTTGACCATAACTTTGACCGACTTTAAACGGCCATTAAACGACCTTTGATTTTGTTCGAGTATACATATTCTGACATTTTTCAATGTGCTGAATTCGTTTCCGAAGTCCGTTTTGCCAAATTCGAACCCAAAGGCCTCCAAATAATCAGTCAAACCAGTTGACTTTGATTTTGACCAAGAATTTGAATTTTCGAAAAGTTATACTTTATGTTTTTCGACGTCCTGATTCCGATTCCGTAATCCGTTTGGTCAAATTCAGACTCGAAATTCTCCAAATTGATAGTCAAACCCGGAAAATGCTTATATACTTAAGAATTTAGCTTTAAACAATTAAGTAAGACTTGGGGCTGATAAATTATTATTGTTTGAAGGTACAATAGACTCTCCGGATCGTTCGACAGCTCGACCCAACTCTTCTAGACCAGTTAAACCACGTGTTCCAGTATTCACCCGTAAGATCCGTAAATTTTATGATTTTAGAGATTAATTATGTTACCCATTAGTAATATAGTGTTATTATAAATTAGGTTCGAAAACTGTAGCAGAACGTGGTGAGACCAGCAATCAATAGATATACTACTTGAACCTATTATCGAGGCGTGTTCCCTATTTATTACTGAACTGTTTTATTTGTTTTAATAAGTGGTACACTGAATTCTTTGGTTATTGTTTTATTGATGCACCGATTTAATGTGATGGTTTATGGATTATGACTGCTATCTGATTTTGTTTTGAAATGGTATATGATTACCATGTTTATGGATTTATGGAATTTATATCACGGTGCAATTGAATTTTTGGAATACAAATTTATAAAGTACAGCTCTGTTCAAGCTGAAAAATTTTACGGACCTAATGTGACTCTTAGGTAGGCTCTGCGGCCCTGAGATCATTCTCGGGTAGACCCTGCGGCCCTAAGATGTGTTCTTAGGTAGGCCCACGGTCCCAAAATCTATTTTGGGTAGGCTCTCAGGCCCTAAGATGTTCCCTTAGGGTAACTCTTTTATGAGATTTACTGCAGTACAATTTTTATGAGATTTACTGCAGTACAATTTTTATGAGATTTACTGGACTATGATTTGTTTAGTGTACCTATCATGATTTTATAGTAATGTTGGGACACACTGAGCCTAGCTCACTTTTCGAAAATGTTTTCCCCTTTTAGATATTGTTGGTTAGATACATCTGATCGAGCACTTGGAGGATCAACATATCTCTTGAAGTATATCGTATTGTAATGTTTTATCTTTTAAGTTGAATTTATTTTGGTAACATGGGCCTTATTTTAAAGTATTGGATTTTATAAAGACTACTCCTTTGCTACTTATATTTGGTTTATCGTAAATTTGGATTTTTAAGACATGTTTAAATTAATTTATTTTTATTCATTATATTTATGATTTGTATTTTTTTAGCATATATTATTATAATTTCTTAAACGTCATTTATAATGTGATTATACTATGATTGAATAATGGTTTCAGAATAATATCTTTAAGAATCATGAATGTGATTCACTAAACTTAGTCGAAATGCATAGACCGGGTTTAGGGGGTTACATTTATTGGTATCAGAGCTTTTGGTTTTTAAACCTCGAACTGTGTATGAGTCTAAATTGAAATTACGGTTTTGGAATATTTTACAAAAGCTGTTGCTAAGGCCATGTCTCAAAGTTTTTACGATTTTAATTGTGTTCGATACTCCAAGTGCTTATCTAACTCTAGGTTTTATCTTCTGTAGTAAACTAGAGATCTACAAAAAATGAGTGCTAGACGTGGACGTCGAACTAGCCGAGGGCAAGGTCGAGTGACTAGATTTGCAGACCCGATCGACGAGATTCGGGTAGATCCACCACCTCCGATAGGTGATCCTGCTCCCGAAGAATTTGCCTCCTGCCGCTGGTATTGGCATGACTACACCGATCAGGAGCGATATAGGAAACCATTTGGCCCTACTGAATCATCTGCACAGTCCGGTAAGAGGACTCGTACTTCAGCCCCTCAGAGGAGCAATACACACTTCAGGCCTACATCATCATCATCTTCAACTGTTAGTAGATGTGGTTCTTCGGTCCTGTTTCAAGTGCCTCATTGTAACCTTTGTGGTAAACGATGCACGGGAGAATGTTTTAGGAAGACCGGAGCATGTTTTCATTGTGGATCTAGTGGTTATTTTCGAAGGGATTGTCCTCAGCTAGCTTCGTCTGAACGGACCGCTACCCAGACTCCCGTACGTTCACAGACTACAGTACAGACTCCAATTAGAGATCGTAGCCAAGTAAAGGCTCGTGGTTCAGCGTCCAGGACAGACAGTAGAGCCCTACCTCAGCAGAATAGAGGGCCAATAGTTTCTGAGGCTAGACAGCCAGCTTTGGTTTACGCCACTAGACGTCGGGATGACAGAGATGAGCCTGAGGTTATTGCAGGTACATTTACTATTTATTCTATTCCATACTTTGCATTACTGGACAATGGCTCCACCCACTCCTATGTATCGAGCTCAATATCTCGAAACATTCAAATTTCGATCGAGAACACTGATAATACTGTTACGGTTACGAGTCCAGTAGGACAGGCAGTATTAGTGAATAAAGTATTTCGGCGTTGTCCTCTGGAGGTTCAAGGAGAAATTTTTCTCGCTGATCTTATGGACCTTCCTTTAGAGGAGTTCGATCTAATTCTTGGGATGGATTGGTTGAATAAACACAAGGTAAATCTGGATTACGAATACAAGCGAGCTACTCTGAAGACTTCAGATGGTCAGACTATTGTGTTAATTGGTGAACGACGTGGCTATCTCTCCAATATTGTTTCAACTATGGAAATTGATCGTATGATCAGGAAGGGGTATGAGACTTTCATTGCATGTATTTTGAACACTAAAGGTTGCTTGTCCACGATCGAGGAGATTCGTACAGTTAGCGAGTTTTCTGATGTTTTTTCGGAGGAGCTGCCTGGGTTACCTCTTGATAGAGAGGTAGAGTTCGAGATTGAGACTTATCCGGGATCTTCACCTATTTCTATGGCACCTTATCGCATGGCTCCAAAGGAACTTAAGGAGTTGAAGGTCCAATTGCAAGAATTATTCGATCGAGGATTTATTCGGCTTAGTACCTCACCCTGGGGAGCTCCAGTTTTGTTTGTGAAAAAGAAGGATGGGTCGCTAAGGCTATGTATTGGCTATCGGAAGTTGAACAAGATGACGGTCAAGAATAAGTACCCATTACCCAGGATTGACGACTTATTTGATCAGTTACGAGGAGCTACTGTATTCTCTAAGATTGATCTTCGTTCGGGGTATTATCAATTGAAAATTAAGGGGTCCGATGTTGTAAAAACAGCCATTCGCACTAGATATGGTCATTATGAATTCTTAGTAATGCCTTTTGGTTTGACGAACGCTCATGTAGCTTTTATGGATTTGATGAATCGTGTGTTCCGGCCATATTTGGATCAATTTGTGGTTGTCTTTATTGATGATATTCTAGTTTATTCTCGGACGGAAACAGAGCATGACGAGCATTTGAAGATTGTTCTGCGGACCTTGAGAGAGCATCGATTATATGCCAAACTAAGCAAGTGTGAGTTTTGGCTTCAAGAGTATCGTTTTTGGGGCACATTATTTCTGCACGAGGTATTTAGGTTGATCCAAGCAAGATCGAGGCTATTGTGAATTGAAAACGACCCAAGAATGTCTCTGAGATCCGCAGTTTCTTGGGCTTGGCTGGATATTATTGACGTTTTGTTGAGGGTTTCTCGATCATTGCTGCTCCTTTGACAAAGCTGTTAAGGAAGAACGTGCCGTTTGATTGGGAAGAGGCACAACAAGAGAGCTTTGAGAAATTAAAGGCGGTTTTGACTCAAGCACCAATATTGATTCAACCAGAGTCCGGGAAGGATTTTACAGTGTATAGTGATGCTTCGCATTCAGGACTTGGATGTGTTCTAATGCAGGAAGGTAAGGTGGTGGCTTATGCGTCCCGTCAACTGCGACCACATGAGTGTAATTATCCAACTCATGATTTGGAGTTAGCAGCAGTGATTTTTGCCTTGAAAATTTGGAGACACTATCTTTACGGAGAGAAGTGTTATATTTTCACTGATCATAAGAGCTTAAAGTATCTTCTGACCCAGAAGGAGCTTAATTTGAGACAACGACGCTGGCTAGAGCTTCTAAAGGATTATGATTGTGTGATTGATTATCACCCTGGTAAAGCTAACATTGTGGCGGATGCTCTAAGTCGAAAGACGATAGCGGAGTTGAGGTCTTTAATGGCCAGGATGAATTTATATGACGATGGCACTTTGTTAGCAGAATTACAAATTAAGATGACTTAGGTTGATGAAATTAAAGTTAAGCAGCCCCTTGATAGCTCCTTGCTATCTATCTTTGAGCAAGTAGAGCATGGGACAATCACAGATTACGCCCTTGATCAGGATGAAGTTTTATGCCTTAAGGGTCGATGTTGTGTGCTTGATGATGCTGAGTTGAGGCAGATTATTCTTAAAGAGGCTCATAGTAGTCCATATGCTATGCACCCCAGTGGAGATAAGATGTACCAGAATTTGAGGGAGAGGTATCATTGGGTCGGCATGAAGAAGGACATCTCAGATTTTGTGGCAAGGTGTTTGACTTGTCAGCAAGTTAAAGTAGAGCATCAACATCCATCAGGTTTGTTACAGCCTATCAAGATTCTTGAATGGAAATGGGAGTGTATTACTATGGATTTTGTTATTGGGTTACTAATGACTCCTTCGAAAAAGGATTCAGTTTGGGTGATTGTTGACAGACTTACAAAGTCAGCTCACTTCATTCCTGTGCGGGTAAATTATACTTTGGACAAGCTGGCGAGATTGTATATTTCAGAGATTGTCAGATTGCATGGTGTTCCATTGTCTATTATTTCTGATCGAGATCCGAGATTTACTTCGAGATTTTGGAAGGTGCTACATATGGCTTTGGGAACAAGATTGAATTATAGTACATCCTTTCACCCACAAACTGATGGTCAATCTGAGAGAGTGATTTAGATTTTGGAGGATATGTTGCGGGGTTGTGTAATTGATTTTCATGGTAGCTGGGAGAACTTTTTGCCGTTGGCTGAATTTGCTTACAATAACAGTTATCAGACCAGCATTCGTATGGCACCCTACGAAGCACTCTATGGGCGTAAATGTCGCACTCCGATATGTTGGACTGAGTTGCGTGAAAGGAAGACTTTGGGACCTGAGTTAGTACGCGAGACGGAGGACACAGTCAAATTGATTCGTGACCGTCTGAAAGAGGCATTTGATAGACAGAAGTCTTATGCAGATCAAAGGAGGAAAGATATTCAGTTTGAAGTTGGAGATCAGGTCTTTTTAAATGTATCACCCTGAAGAAAGTATTGAGATTTGGGCGTAAGGGTAAATTAAGTCCAAGATTTATTGGACCTTTTCGTATATTGAAAAGGATAGGACATGTCGCGTATCAGCTTGAGTTGCCTCCCCAGCTCAGTCGTATTCATGATGTCTTTCATGTATCAATGTTGAGGCGATATCGTCCAGATCCATGTCACATCATTCATGTTGAAGAGGTAAAGTTGAGACCTGATTTGTCATATGAGGAGGAGCCCATTCAGATCTTGGAAAGTGATGAGCGAGTTCTTCGAAATAGACGTATCCCGATGGTAAAAGTTCAATGGAGTAACCGAAGCCCCTCTGAAGCTACTTGGGAGACATTGGAGTCAATGGAGGCTCAGTTTCCTCAACTATTCTCATAAGGTAAATTTTGAGGATGAAATTTCTTGTAGAGGGGGAGAATTGTAACAACCCGAGAAAAAAAATTAAATCGGTGTAATTTGGTGAAATTTAGTGACTAAAATAAAATTTATGAAAATTTATAGGTTATTTTTGACGTTGAAGGAAATTCAGGGACCAAGCCCTGAATTCCTCCAATAAGTGTCGACAGGTTTGATTATAAACCAAACGTGTTTTCTGATTTCAAAATTAGAAAATACTAGCAAATTATAAAATTTCCTCCTCCCGTGCGCTTACTTTCAAAGCCCGATTCCGATGTCGTCCGACTTCCAATCGTCAAATTGAAACCACCATCGTGTTCATCATCGACCCGTGATCAAAACCCAGTAAACCAACTATAGCGAAACGCTGCCAAACGACGTGAATTTCGAGTCAAAGTATCGACTTTTTTAGCACCACCGCCGGAAAAATCTTAAATTCATCTCCGATCGTTGATCGGTTTTCGATACCTCCCGCACCATCGTATTTCTGGTGTCATTCTGAGTCTGACGGTGTCGTCCTTGTCTCCAAGGCGACGGCGCGTGTGGGAGGTGGAACGGTCAAAGATTTGGCCGAGTTGAAATCGAGCTCTCCACCGTTCAAAAACTTGAACCGAGGTTGGTAAGTGTCTCAAAATCGCTTAAAAGAATTTTTGGAAATTTTTGCATGAATTTTTGAAGGCCAGAGGCGGTCTCACGTGCCCCCACGCGCCGCCCCTGCGCGTGGGGAAGATTCGAACTACAGTTTAATGGGTTGATCGATCTGACCCGACCCGACCCGATGACATTCTGAAAATTATTTTGAAAAATGTGACATTTTGGGAATTTTTGTGAAAAATGTGACATTCTGGAATTTTTTTTTGAAAAAATGACATTTCGGTAATTTTTGTGAAAAGGTGACATTCTGGGAATTATTTTGAAAAATGTGACATTTTGGTAATTTTCGAATGTGGACTATTGAATCCCTTTGACCATAACTTTGACCGGCTTTAAACGGCCATTAAACGACCTTTGATTTTGTTCGAGTATACCTATTTTGACATTTTTCAACGTTCCGAATCCGTTTCCAAAGTCTGTTTTTCCAAATTCGAACTCGAAGACCTCCAAATCATCAGTCAAACCCATTGACTTTGATTTTGACCAAGAATTTGAATTTTTGAAAAGTCATAGAATTTGAATTTTTGAAAAGTCATACTTTATGTTTTTCGACGTCCTGATTCTGATTCCGCAATCCGTTTGGTCAAATTCAGACTCGAAATCCTCCAAATTGATAGTCAAACCCAGAAAATGCTTATATACTTAAGAATTTAGCTTTGAACAATTAAGTAAGACTTGGGGCTGATAAATTATTATTGTTTGAAGGTACAAGAGACTCTCTGGATCGTTCGATAGCTCGACCCAGCTCTTCTAGACCAGTTAAACCACGTGTGCCAGTATTCACCCGTAAGATCCGTAAATTTTATGATTTTAGAGATTAATTATGTTACCCATTAGTAATATAGTGTTATTATAAATTAGGTTCGAAAACTGTAGCAGAACGTGGTGAGACTAGCAATCAGTAGATCTACTACTTGAACCTATTATCGAGGTGTGTTCCCTATTTATTACTGAACTGTTTTATTTGTTTTAATAAGTGGTACACTGAATTATTTGGTTATTGTTTTATTGATGCACCGATTTAATGTGATGGTTTATGGATTATGACCGCTATCTGATTTTGTTTTGAAATGGTATATGATTAGCATGTGTATGGATTTATTGAATTTATGTCACGGTGCAATTGAATTTTTGGAATACAAATTTATAAAGTACAGCTCTGATTAAGCTGGAAAATTTTACGGACCTAATATGACTCTTAGGTAGGCTCTGCGGCCCTGAGATCATTCTCGGGTAGGCCCTGCGGCCCTAAGATGTGTTCTTAGGTAGGCCCACGGCCCCAAAATCTATCATGGGTAGGCTCTCAGGCCCTAAGATGTTCCCTTAGGGTAACTCTTTTATGAGATTTACTGTAGTACAATTTTTATGAGATTTACTGCAGTACAATTTTTATGAGATTTACTGGACTATGATTTGTTTAGTGTACCTATCATGATTTTATAGTAATGTTGGGACACACTGAGCCTAGCTCACTTTTCGAAAATGTTTTCCCCTTTTAGATAATGTTGGTTAGATACACCTGATCGAGCACTTGGAGGATCAACATATCTCTTGAAGTATATCGTATTGTAATGTTTTATCTTTTAAGTTGAATTTATTTTGGTAACATGGGCCTTATTTTAAAGTATTGGATTTTATAAAGACTACTCCTTTGCTACTTATATTTGGTTTATCGTAAACTTGGATTTTTAATACATGTTTAAATTAATTTATTTTTATTCATTATATTTATTATTTGTAATTTTTTAGCATATATTATTATAATTTCTTAAACGTCATTTATAATGTGATTTTACTATGATTGAATAATGGTTTCGGAATAATATCTTTAAGAGTCATGAATGTGATTCACTAGACTTAGTCGAAACGCATAGACCGGGTCTAGGGGGTTACAATGAAATTATATGATTTTAATAAAATTGAGTTTATAATAAATCATACTAATTAATATGATTAATTTTTAAATGTTATAATAAAATATTAATTATGATAATTAAATTAATAAATATATTAATTATATTAATTATGATTATTATATTATTATTCTTATGTTATAAATCTTCAATATAAACATTAATTTTATTTTATCTAGAAATTTATGTATTGAACATTATTAATTAAATTAATTATAATGATTACAAGTTATAATAATTTATTGGCATTGAACATGGTTAATAAAATTATTTTAAATGTAAATTATATAGTTTAATTTATGTAAAGAAAATTTATGTAACAATTATAATATATATAAAACATAATATAAAAAGATGAATTTAATTGATATTGATAATATAAATAACATTGGATTTATTACACTTGAATACAATAAAATGAACAAAAAAAGTGTTTTTTAAGCTCTCGGATCTTATAACAAAAGTTTTATAAGGCTAAAAGCCTAACTTTTCTACCAGAAATTTCTTCATCGAGCTTTTGTATCTGTCATCACTCATTTTATCTGGTTGGTGACATGTGTCGTTTTCATATTCTAATATAGTAATATAATAAATGTGTGGGAATTTGTATAATATATAGTATGTATATAGTATATAGTTGGCATATTAGATATTGTCATTTATCATATAGAGTATAATTTTTGCTAGGTGATTGCATATTAAATAATAATTAGTATGTTATATAGTACATATTAAATAATAGTTGCATTGCATATCATATAGCTTCATATCAAATAATTACATATTATATTTGATATTAAATAATTACTATATTACATGGTTTATATTATATAGTTAGTATATACTATATAGTTTGCATGTTAGAATAAATATTCCATATTAATATAACCCATTTTAAATAATAAAAATCCAAAATATAGTTCATTTCATTAGATAATAGTCCATTTACATAGTTTTTCCACATGCTCAAATAAATAGCCCACATTGTTACAAATATATGCATAAATAAATATATATAAAAAATCCTAAATTGCTTGATTCTTAGCCACGGGTGTTGGTTGATTTTCAGGGGAAATTTTGTTGCTTTGAAAAGTCAAAGATGAAGCATTTATGGTGGTGTGGCTTTTTAGGCTATGACATCACCAACCTTGTGAAAAAAAAATACAAACTAATCTCCACCCTTGATTAGCTTTCATCCAAGGGTCACTATTGCTTCAATCTATATAAAAGAAACACAAATTCATGGGAGCCCTTGGATGAGAACCTAGATCCAATGGCTCCCATTAAGCCACATCATGCATCCAAGTGAAAAAGCAAGAAGTAATCTTAACCATTGGATCAAGATTTGATCCAATGGCTAAGATTTCATCATCTAAAGGAGGTGCACTCCCCACCGGTGCGTCCTAACCAGCTGGAGACCTCGTAGGCACGATGCCGACGCGTGGGTATCATGTACTGATTCGATCATCTTCCTCATCAAGTCATCGCCGCGTCGCTGTCGTTCTGCCTTCATTGTGGGTCATGTTTAGAGCATGCAAAAAATCCAAAAAATATTTATATCTCAACTATATAGTTTATATATATATCGTTCATATGTAAACTATATATATTATATAGTATATAAATATCAAATGTAGTATATAGTTTGTATATAAACTATAGTTTTTATATATAGTTCTGTTGAGTTAATCGATTGACGGAATTGGCCAAGAGGGGGGTGAATTGGCAATAAAAATTTTGGTGGAAGCTTTTGCAGAAAATTGAAAGAAATTGCACAGCGATTTAGAGTGGTTCGACTTTCTCAACCAAAGTCTAAGTCCACTACCTTAGCTATCCACACTAAGGATTTTCCACAAATTCACTAATTTTTCTTTCTTTTGAGGACAAAGAGTAACCTTACAAACTCTCAAGAATTTTACCCCAAATTCTTGAGAACACTCTCTCCCAAAGAGAACAATACAAATTTGCAAACTTACAAGGAAATCCTCACAAGGTAGATTGTTTGCACAATTCTAGAACAAAGAAAAAAACACTCAAGAATGAATACAATTGAGCACAATAAGTGTTCTTGAAAGAAAAATGAATATTGAATGAAAAATAGGCTTGAAATGCTCAAACTTGAGGTTTGATGCTTTCTCTTTGATTCTCTCTTGATTCTAATTGCTTGATGTTTCTTGTTCTTGATCAATGGCTTCTAAGCTTGCTTAAATACACCTTGAATCACTTCTGAACGTTGGGGATCATTAATGAAGATAATATAGCCGTTTTAGTGTGAAATCAATTAATAAAACAGTTTGGAGCGTGGGCGGAATCGGTACCCCCTATGGGGAATCGGTTCCCTAATTGTAAAATTCAAATATTTCGACCGTTACACTGGGGGGAACCCGTTTTAGTTTGAAATCAATTAATAAAACAGTTTGGAGCGTGGGCGGAATTGGTACCCCCTATGGGGAATCGGTTCCCTAATTGTAAAATTCAAATATTTCGACCGTTACACTGGGGGGGAATCGTTACCCCCTAGGGGGAATCGGTTCCCTCCGAGCATACTGGAATTCTCGGAGCCAAACCATTCAGGGGGGAATCGGTACCCCCTTGGGGGGAATCAATTTCCTCTGAGCAATCTGGAATTTTTGGCTTTGAGATGGTTCGAAATATTTTTTAAAATCGTTTTGAAATTATTTTAAGATTAAAACTTAATTTTACACTTGAGAAAAGATTAAAAATAACATTTGAAAGATTTGGAGTAATATTTTGATATTCGAATAATTATATCGAATATACTTAGAAAATCTTTTTGGAAAATCTTAAAATTCATTTAACTTAATTTGTTATATCGAAATATCAAAATGTTTTCAACAATCTCCCCCTTTTTGATATAACAAAACATTTTAGTAATTTTAAGATTTTGAAATCAAAAACGATGTTTTTGAAAAATTACTCCCCCTTACTTTAACACTTCTCCCATTTAAAATATTTAACACTTCTCCCTTTTTTTTTTAAATCAAAAAGATTCGTAAAAGATTTTAAACAAGGTTTTTGAAATCATTTAGCCAATTTGATTATAGTTTAAGCTGCTAAGATCACAATCAAGAGAAACGTTAGCTATTAGTTTCATAATCAATATTCATAAACAATGTGATATGGCAAAATTGGTCATATATCTAACATGCTGCAAATGATACAATAAATTTAATTAAACCAAATATATAAATTCAAACATCCAAACAAATCCAAAGTCTAACAATCCACAAAATGTTGAAACAATAATCTTTTAGTTCAAAGTTTTAAAGTTAAACACATAATTAAACATCCGGATCGGGAGGAGGAAAACGTGCTCGCATAGCGGTCATCTCGTGTGAGAGTGCATCAATACGTTCATTCATCGAAGCGTTGTTTGTGCGCATCTCTCGGAGGATTTCTAATTGTTGAGCTCCCATTGTGGATAAATGGGACTCTATAGAAGTAAAGCGCGAATCCATGGTCGCATATCGGAAATCAAATGTCTCCATAAAGGATTGAAAATATGGAGGCATTTGATGCGTTTGTTGTGCTTGATCCTCGGGCTACTCAGGCTCATCTCCGGCTTCATCGATGTCTCGCATTAATTGTTGAAGCTCGGGATCATCATCAGTTTCTGGTTGAGCTTGTGAAGAACTAGCTCCCGGAGTATTTTCAGACGATCGAACCCATTCACCGGTTTCCTTATCCTTTATCCATCCCGCTCTTGTTAAAGAAAGAAGATTAATTTGTTTCTTTAGAGTAAATGATGTATCTAGACCTACTCTAAGCCCAGCTTTAGAAAATAGGTTACTCAAAATGCAACCGTAAACTAGAGATGAACATAGTTTCTTATTAGGTACAAGGTTTACGGTTTCAACAATTTCAGCAAAAATGATCTGAGGTAGGTTTATTTTAATACCGTTTTCAAAACAATGAAACCACCAAAGATCCAAGAATCTAAGAGTAGAATAACGACCTCCGGATGGTCGAAACCACCAAGAAATCATTAGATGAAGAAAACGTTCATGAAGGTCTAAGACACTTGCACTATATCTTCTTTTATAACGAGATCCTAAGATTTGCTTTTCATTTGAAATACCATCATTATCTAATCCGAATGCATTGCTATGTAAGCCGAGTCAATATATAAGAATTGTCCTAGGAGGTAGGAACGAATTCCTATGGTTTCGATTTCAGTTCGGTTTTTAACACAAACGGAATTAGAATAGAAAATACGAACAAGTTGATGGTAAATAATGGGTTCAAGTTCAAAGAGTTTGTCAAATTTCCACTCTTGTAAAAGAGGAAGATATTTAAAATTAATATCTGACATAGCTTGACGAGAAGGGATACGTTCTTCTCTAATTTTGTAAGAATCGAAATATTGATAATACCAAAAACGATGATTTCTAGGACCAGGATGATTGAAGCACGAGTTTTGGATAGTCAAATTAGGATCAATGTGATTAGGATTAGGAATTGGAATTTCAGGAATAGGAGGAGGATTTGGAGGTGGATTTGGTTGACGGTGTGAGCGACTAGATGATGACCTAGCTCGTTTAGGATTGGACATGGTTTAGGAAATCTGAATAGAATGGATAACCTGCAATTTTGAAAACACTTGTATGAAATTCAATCAATCCCAAAACTCAATTGAGTCCTCAATAATTCAAGGTTCTCTAAATCAATCCTAATGGGCAAAGTTTTTGAAAACTTTTGAAAAATACGGTTTTGAGAAACAATATATGTATAGTTTTCATAACAACAACATAATTCAATCAAAACACAATAATTTGATTTTTTTATTTCGAAAATTTCAATAATTTTTAGAAAATTCTTGTGATTTTGATAAAATTAGTTGTAATATCTAGTTTCTAATCACTAAACAATCAATGCCCGATCACTATTTCTATCTAGAACTAATTAAAACTAGTCTTATGTTCAAAATCAATGAAATAGAGAGTTTAGAAAATTTTACCTTGAAGGATGATATTGAGTGGATTTTGATGTTGTTTGCACGATTTTAATGATGATAGCAAGTTTAGAAGATGATATTTGAAGTGAATTCCGATTAAAACCGATGATTTGAGGCAAAAATGGAGATTTGAGAGTTTAGAGAGGAGAAATGGCAGAAGGAAGAAGAAGAAGAGGGTTTGAGCAAAAATGTGAGGTTCTGCCCGATAAATCCAGAACCCCAGGGGGTATCGATTCTCCTAGGGGGAATCGGTTCCCTCATGGGGGTATCAATTCCCTCTACACCAAAATGCTAAAATACGATTTTAAACACACAAAATGCTAAATTAATTTTATCTAGTGGTATTGGCAACTCATATATTGAAAATTAATCATGTTCAAACAATCAAATTATTCTTTAAACGATATTTGAACATAAAATTAATTTTTCATCAAGAATCATAAACTCCCCCTAACTAATAGAAATGAATGCAATTAAAAATTAGCATTTTTCATTTAGTCTTAAAAGTGCTAAAATTATTTTAAACACTAAGTGAAGATAGGTTGGTTAAACCTAATTCTCTAAGTGTCCAAAATCTTTCCTTGTCTAAAGGTTTTGTAAAGATATCCGCTAATTGGTGCAAAGTATCAACAAATTCTAGAACTACATCTTCCTTAGTGACATGGTCTCTAATGAAGTGATGTCTTATTTCAATATGCTTAGTTCTAGAGTGTTGGATGGGATTTTTAGTGAGACAAATAGCACTAGTATTGTCACACTTGATAGGAATGGTACCAACTTGAATTCCATAATCAAAAAGTTATTGTTTCATTCATAAAACTTGTGCACAACAACTACCAGCTGAAATGTATTCGGCTTTAGTGGTAGATAATGCAACACAATTTTGTTTCTTTGAAAACCAAGAAATCAACATATTTCCAAGGAATTGGCAAGTACCGGAGGTGCTTTTCCTATCTAATTTGCATCCTCCATAATCCGCATCAGAAAAAGCATGCAAGCTAAAGCTAGAGTCTCTAGGATACCAAAGTCCTAAACTAGGAGTGTCCTTAAGGTATCTAAAGATTCTCTTAACAGCTAGTAAATGTGATTCCTTAGGGCATGATTGAAATCTAGCACATAAGCAAACACTAAACATAATGTCCGGTCTACTTGCAGTTAGATAAAGTAGAGATCCAATCATTGACCTATATAATTTAACATCTACACATTTACCTCCTTCATCTAAGTCAAGCTTTGTTGAAGAGCTCATTGGAGTGTCATGAGGTTTGCCATTTTCCAGTCTAAACTTCTTGAGCATATCTTTGACGTACTTAGCTTGATTGATGAAGATGCCATCTTTTCTTTACTTGATTTGGAGTCCCAAGAAAAATGAGAGCTCCACCATCATGCTCATTTCGAATTCACTTTGCATTAGCTTGGAAAATTCTTGGCAAAGAACATCATTAATAGAACCAAATATTATATCATCAACATAAATTTGAACTACTAATAAATCTTTACCTTTATGCTTTAAAAACAATGTAGTGTCAACCTTCCCTTTTGAAAAACCTTTTTCAATTAAAAAATTTGACAATCTTTCATACCAAGCTCTTGGAGCTTGTTTTAAACCATAAAGTGCTTTTGTCAATTTAAGAACATGATCCGGAAATTTTGAATCTTCAAAACCTGGAGGTTGTTCCACATACACTTCTTCTTTTATAAAACCATTTAAAAATGCACTTTTAACATCCATTTGATATAATTTAAATTCATGAAAACATGCAAATGCTAGTAACATTCTAATTGCTTCCATCCTAGCTACGGGAGCGTATGTTTCATCATAGTCTATGCCCTCTTCTTGAGTATACCCTTGAGCAACAAGTCTAGCCTTGTTTCTCACTATATTACCACTCTCATCAAGCTTATTCCTAAATACCCATCTAGTACCTAAAGTAGATTTATTACTAGGCCTTTCAACTAATGTACATACTTTACTTCTCTCAAATTGATTTAATTCTTCTTGCATAGCCATAATCCAATGATCATCATTTAATGTTTCTTTAATATTTTTAGGCTCTATGCATGAAATAAATGCAACATAAATACAAATATTTCTAAGAGAAGATCGAGTTGTTACCCCTTTGGATGGATCACCTATAATCTCACCATCATTGACATAGTTGTACTCTCTTGGATAAGATACTTCCCTTTCTTCAATGGTTGGATTCTCGAGGGGATCATGAGTTTCCTCATCTTTCGTTTCTTCTTTTGATGATGATTCTCCAACGTCGTGTCTAACGTCATTTGTATTTATAATACTTACATCATCATTAACACAAGAATCCTTCCTCGGAAGGGGATTATCATCGAAAACAACATGTATAGACTCTTCTACAACTAAAGTTCTTTTATTAAATACTCGATAAGCTTTAGAATTTAAGGAATAACCCATAAAAATTCCTTCATTACTTTTAGCATCAAATTTGCCAAGATTTTCTTTACCGTTGTTCAAAACAAAACATTTATTTCCAAAAGGATGAAAATAGCTAATGTTAGGCTTTTTATTTTTGAAAATTTCATATGGAGTTTTATTTAAAATTGGCCTAATCATTACTCGATTTACAACATAACAAGCGGTATTTGTGGCTTCCGCCCAAAAATATTTTGGCAAATTATTTTCACAAAGCATG